GATGCTGGTGCTCGCCCTGGTGCCCTATGCCATCGCCTACGATCGATGATCAGAACGGGGGACCGTTATGTAATGTTGAACCCTTGGCCCCTGTCCGACTCCTATAGGTTCTGAACCCCAAGCTTGAAATGCAAAGTTACTGACCAGGACCTCAGCTACACCCTTGCCCAACGTGTGGCTCATGCAGCTGTTGAGGACCATGGTGAAAAATGAACCGGATCGCATGGCCATCTGATTTTGCTAACAAGTTGCAGGACTTCATCGCGAGCTCTGTGCAACCTGATGAATCATTGGCTGCTTTGGCTACCGCCGGGGCCGAGGGTCGCAGGAGCTCCAACATTGAGCGGGATGTTCTACGACGAATGCATTCCGAATGCCAAGCTGGGATCTTATCCTGCATGTCAGAACCTGTGTAGTATGTTTAAAAGGATTATGGGATCCGGACAGTACTTCAGGTGCCCATTCGAACAGTTCTTGTACCAGTCCGCAAGCGGGATAAAGGAGCTTGGCGGGTCGAGAGCCGGAGCCTGGGTTTGCATTCAGCTTCTGCAATGTATACTGCCACTCGCCCCAATGTATACTAGATCTAGATTCGAACATGCATCCCAGGGAAATGCCATTGGTACTCCCACACGATGTGCTGCATGCCCTTCACACTTCGGGTAAACTACAAGAACTCTGTGATCCCGGAGCTTTGACTGCATTTTGGGATAATGCCAAAGCTCACGAAAGCTCCCAAGTTCAGTGGCCCTGCCTCGGAGAGCGGGGAATGCTTCCACTCGGAGTCCATGGCGATGATCTTCGATATCTTGAGAATGGAGGCAAGATTGAAGCTTTCTCTATGAATATCTTGATCGATGATACTCAAGAGCGGTTTCCGCTCTTTGCAATCCGAACTGTTACTGAGGCTGTATTGGAAATAGTGTCGCCATCCCTTAATCCGGATAAAATCTTATTTCAATCATCCGACCAAACCCCAAACCTCATTGGCTAGCATAAGCATCCTGAGGATGATGATACTTGACTGTGAAACCTTGCATTGCACTTAACACCTCATGTAAACATGCGACAGCCGAGGCTTTGAGCACTGGCTTCCCGACACTCCAGGCATACATGCGCCCCGTGCCCTGGCATTAGAATATAGAAGCTCTCATGTCAGGCTCTGATCAATGCAATTTCGAATCGCAACTTAGATTGCCGCTTCCTTCAACTATTGTATGTTGGGTGTGGCTCCGCGTTATATACAGCCCGACGAGATCACGCCAGAGGGTGTTCCGACCGATCCGGAGGAGGTTATCCGAGCAGGTGATGCTCTGTGTTTTCCGAAGGGCTACTTTTGTGAAGTTCGTGCGGATTGGAAGTTCATGAAGGAGAGTTGAGCTTTAAATAATAGGCTTATTATACAATAAGAAACAGGTATATGTAATTACAAAGCAATAAATTTCAGGAGCTGTATTGCCTGGGTGCTGCATGGAACTGCAAGGCAATATGCCACCATTGCATGGCAAGGGAAAACAACTATTTATCATTTCCAAGTCAATTGGCTTTTCAACCCCGTCGGAGCCTGCAAGAGTTCATCAATGTCTGCAAACCGTATGGGGGACACAGATGCCACTAGCATTAAAATGGTACCTGGTTTTGATTCGAATTATTGTTGAAATGTTTACAATAAATAAACACCTTTGGCCTCTTGGCTTGTTTCTGAGGCCACCTCCTGGGCATTCGGGGCTTTCACCACAGTTGCCTGCGCTGGTGCAGTATGCACTCAGTAAACTTGGGAGTTTGCTTGTGGGCGACGGCCTCCACATTGCTTACGTTGCTGAAGCTGGAAGATGCTATGTTGCATTATGCATGTGTGCATGCCTCATCATCCTGCTCCTGAGAGTTTTGCACCTAAGGATCTGTGGCCAGCACCTGATGGCACGCCAGCTAAGTTCCGCTTGAATGTGCGTTTGGCAGCGGCACATGAGGATTTTGGACTCGTGAAAAGCGTATCCAGTGTCTGGTTTGCAAAGCCTCGCAATTCATTCAGTGTACATGTGCTTTGTGCTCGGTGCAAAATGGTTTATCATATAAGGCATTCGCAACCTGAATTTCATCCGAAGAACCTTCGAGATGTCAGCACCGGATATGCGGAGATGGCTATGAAGGCTCACAACGATTCTCGTTTGCATACCATACTATAGCTAGCTCCGTTTTCTATTAGTTGCTATGCCCAAATCCGGAAAACTGTCATCCCGAGGCCCGGGTCGTGACGGGGTGGCTGGCCGATTTTGTGGTCAAGCTGTACTCTGAACGTGAAGATCTCAACGGAGATGAAGAGTTCAAGGAGATTGTGAAGTGCTTGCAACATGCCTTCGAATGAACTTTAAAAATTGCCGATCTAAACATAGCATGTGTGTTTAGGTTTTGATAGGATCCAGGGTTCAATATTGTGCAGCTCGCCTTGAAGAATTTGTAATTTTGAAGTGCAGGCCATTATGTGAATTAAATTGCTAATCGTGTTGAGGTTTTTCAGAATTCTAGCTGCTAGCTAATCAAGCTTCAGTGCAATCTAAGGTACTGGCTGAATGAATTTTTCCAAAGGATGGAGAAATACGGTCGGTACTTGGGTCCTGCTGAGAAGGCTGGCCTTTGTGAAGCAGTTGTATCTCGGCATTAAAGTTCCGTGCGCCACTGACTTCAGCTAGGTGGTGATTCTGTGCTGTTGCTGGAAACATCTGAGGATGCTATGGGCATGGCATATGCCAATCTTTCGATCAGGACGGCCGCGCGGTCTGAGCGGCTCTGGCCACTCAGGCCAAAACTACATGCCACTAGGCAGCAATCCATGTTTTGAGTTCCATGTGATTTTTCCTGTGATGTTGCAGTGAAGGCTTTTCAAGAGCTTGTGCATTTCGCAACGATGGATGGCAGCTCGGAGACACAATACTGTTTTTGGAATTATCTAAAGCCCCGATAAGGAATAAGTGACTTAGGACAGAACCCGAAGTATGGGCACACATTTCGTGATGAGTCCTATATGGGCGTCATCAAAGGCAGGCGCTGCTTTCATGCAATTGCAATGCAACATGCAGTTTTGTAATTCTGGCAACAACCGATTTGTCATACAGGCATCGCGAAACGATGCCATCGGGCAACACTGGAGACATCACTGATGAAGAGAATCTACAGCCAGTGACTTGATTGCAAACCAGATGTTTGGATTCACGATATGTCAAATCTGCTGGTGTAGTGAGTGTGTGTGTGTGTGTGCAGCCTAGGTTTCCTCAAATGCCATAATTGGTGCTCTGTGCCGAAAATTTGAGTGACTTGATCGCAAACCAGCTGTTCAATTCATGATATGTCTAATCAACGGTGTACTGCTGGTGTATATTGTACTGTGTGCAGCCTAGGTTTCCTCATTTGCCATAATTGGTGCACTCCGACTGCCGGAACGCTTGCAATGTGCTGTGCAGAAACAACGATCAAAGCGTGCATTCAGGATTCGGCATCAAGGTTCGATTCCCATTGTGCATATTAAATCACCTGGAGCGCTAAGCATCAATCCCCCAAATGTGGTAGATCCGGGCACTAGCTCTTCCGAAGAGCATGGAATTCGCCGGTTTTAAGTGACATAATCGATATATGTAAACCTATTTAATTATATATATATGCTATATATATATATATATATATATAGCATATATATATTGTATAAACATCTTGAGGGCGGTATTATGAAGATAAACCCAGAAGCAAGGCTCCACACGCTAAGACCACATATGCTAATGCTTTAGGAGCCTCTGGGTGAAAGAGTTGTGACAACGGACAACGCATTTCCACACCGCAGCCTTGGATGCAGTGTCGCGAATGTGAACACTTAACAGCTCCATGGTGCCAGACCAGAGAAACAACCGGATTTTGAGATAGCATCGAAAAGCACAATGTGAAAACATATACTTTTTTTGGTCCCCGTAGTATAGACATACACTTATAGACTATACCGCCTCCCTTAAAGACAACCTGCTCTAATTAAGAAACCCTTTTTCAGTGTGATAGCTGGTCGTTGATGATAGGAGATCCTCGCAGATATCAAGAAAAACAGGGTGCGAATCTACAGCACGGGATGGACGGGACGTTCGGACGAAATAGTATTCCCTGATCGTCTCGTATATCGATTAGGATAGATCAACCTCTTTGTACTTAATGCCCATTTCTTAGACTCTGGTTCCGACGCTTCTGAAGACTTGAATTAGACACACCGTGGACACGGATTGGGGTGCGGGTGTTAAGTTTAGGGTTGTTTTTCGATAGTTACCCGGTAGTTCTCGGTGCCACGACAATTTTTGTTGGGAAGATCTCGGAATGGAAGAAAATGGTGCGAACGTTTTGATGCTGGAGATATTAGTGTTGAACTGACTGGCGAAATGACGGGTAGAACCCTGGGCACTTGGCGTGTGAGACATGCTGCGTTGTGCACTGGTTCTCATTCCTTTTCAAGATGCTGTCACTGTCTGCAAACATGCTTATGCCCGACCGATGCGAGCTGGATTTCTGGGACATGCGGTTTCCTGCATCGCGCGAGACCGGTATGTCTTGGATTGACGATTCAAGGTTTCAAGTGTTGGGTCATGGACCTGCAGTGCAAGGTTTGGGTTCGGGATAGCGTAATTTAGTTTAGTGCCAGCTGACCAGTCTGGATGTGGGTTTCGAGACTTTCATTACCCCGATAACGCTGGACGACGATCACAATATACAATGGGCATGACCATCACTGCAGACTCGCTTGAAAAGAGGTGGTAAGCGACATTGCTGGTCGTCTGCCTTCGTGGCCCCGACTCCTTATGTTGCCGTTTGGGCCCACGCCGCAATGCCACACTTTACGCCCGCCCACAACCTTAAACCCTCAACCCACCTTCCCAAACTCAGAACCCCAACGCCGAAAAATGATGAATCCCCTAAACCCCTCCCCTAAACCCTGAAGCCTAAGATCCTACATGCCCGAAGCTTGATGCAAGGAATGCTGTGCATGGTCGTTGCGGCGGTCTTGCTGGCGGCATCTTCGCCTCGCAAGCTGTCCTTGCTCTTTAAGAACCCAGACCTTCCAAAATCCTTTAATTAAGGAATATACCTTAGATTATAGTAAGGTCCCTAATATGATTTAAGGTATATGCCTTAATTAAGGGATTTTGGAAGGTCTGGGAACGGCGGCCTTAGTAATTAGAACTGTGTTCCTCTAATGTTTCCAATGAAGGGTTTCTACACGGGTTGCTTTTAAGTTGGGCGTTTTACTGTAGATGCGTTATAGCAGTAATCTGGAATAGGGTTCCGTGAAGGCAATAAGGGCACATTCTCGAGGTGTTTCCCAGAGTTATATACTATGAGGGTTACGAGAAGGGCCTTTACGGTTGACGTGTGTGGTTTCGGGCTTCGGGTTTAGAATTCTGGTTTACCCTATGCTCCAAGGGTAAAAGGAGGAACCCTTAAAAAGGACCCCTAGGTCCTAGGTATATACCCTCAATTTTGCTATTATATACCCATTATATAGCCCATTATAGGGTAGGGGTCCCCATTAAGGGTCCCTCCTTCTCCCCTTTGATATGCAGGGTTCAGTCTTCAGGTTTGAGGGTCTGCACACGTTCCAAAATCCTTTGATCCTTAGGCTTTGCATCCCAAACCTAATTTTCCAGTCCCTGGGCCTCAGAGCTATCCTGCCTATAGTTTCCATCGTAGCTCCTTTTGTGGGTTACTTAGGAGGACCCTGAGAAAAACCTCGCTGAAACCAAGAAATGGAATTTCAATGGAGACTACCGGTAAGTCATTGGTTTGAGGGCATCTTCACGGTTGTTTTCCGACTGCCAAGCGAGAACGGTGTCGGCGGGGTTAAGGGTTTAAGGTGGCTTAGAGTTTAAATGGTTTGGGGTTTAGGTTTAGGGTTGATAGGCGTGTAATGTCATGTTCTTCCAGAACCTTGCACCTGCCCTAAACCCCTAAACCCCCAAGATGGATCAACCCTTTAACCCAGAGGCCTCGGGTGTGTGAGTTTGGGCTGTTTAGGATCATAAAGCTCATCGGCCTCCTATACTATAGGCAGTTTTTTGTCAAAGTCCGACCCTATCCCTATCCCTCCAAGGACCTCATAGTTAGGGCCCTAGACCCTTAAGGAACCCTAAACCCCAAACCCTGAACCCTAAGCCCCAAACCGTGAACCCCAACCTGTTCTTGGATGTTTAAGGTGTGTTGAAGGGCTTGAGGATTGAAATGGCATTATACTGCATTGGGTTCAATGCTCTTGCCTTTAGGGTTTAGGGTTTAGGGGTTAGGGGTTACAAGCAGATTAGCTGAAGGTTGTATAGCAAAAGAAGCCAGGTGGCTATTGGCTATGTCCTCTACATGAGTTCAAAAGGATATATCTGATATGCCGTGGTCTCCTCAACTCCTCCTGTTCCATCGTATCTGCGGCGGCCCATGCCAGCTAGTCGAGTCCTAGTTAAAGTATGAGCATGATTCAGAGGTTAACGATTTAATGGTTTGAGCCTGCACCCAGAGTAATTGCATCGGCTTTCAGCACGACCTCCCACAAAGCAGGCCACACGCATGCGACAAAAGCCAGCAGCACTCCTCAAGAAGTTGTTTTCATGTTTCAGGCCCCGCTTTTGAAACCCTTACCATATGCTACTGTAACTTAGGGGCACTTAGAAATAATAGTATAATCCCTAAGAAACAGCTAAAATTGTAATTTTGCTAGGGTTCTAAGTTCAGTATAGCTGCGTGAAAGCAAGCCTTAAACGAGGCCTGTAGTTAGTAGTCCCAACCCCACCTTATCCAAGGATTCTAACCCGATGACCATTGACCCCCAACACCCATTGGACCATTCCGCCACACCTGCTGTGCAAGAAGACCCCCCAGCCAAAAACCCCGCAGCCCTACAGCAGCACAATTCAAAACCCGACAATACTCATATTACCCCTACAGCCCTTGTAGACCCTTTTTAAACGCCTGGTGTCAAGACGTCACATAGACGTAGATTTCGAAGAGCTAGTCAATCCCAGAACCCCCAAACCCCGAGCACCGAAAGCTAGAAGCACCGAAGATTAGGCTGCCACGTGTGCGGCTGCAGTACATCGCGCAGACCTGGCATAGTGCTGCGCATGTTTGGGTGCAGGCTGGGATTTCAATAAGCCTGACAAGGTTCGATGAGGGAGGCTTCGCTGTGTATCAGCTGCCATCACCGGGCATAGCAGTGTTGGGGCCTTGTGTTTCGTGGGTGGAGCTTGAAGTGCACGTGGTGTTCCGAAAGGTGGTGCAATTTCCCAAAGGTTCCATGTACCCATACAGTACGTACTTAGGCCTTAAAGGGGTCCCTATATGGGTACTCTAAGGCCTAAGTACCTACTATATGGGTACATGGAGCCTTTGGGTTTGTGATTGGCACGTGACCGAATAGGTACAGATCGACATCGATTCGGGCGATTGATCGTTGCACCCTCCCAGCCTCCAGCCTCCAGCCTCCCACCCTTCAGCCTGCCACCTTCCAGCCTCCCCCCCTCAAACCTCTCGCTCTCCAGCCTCCCACCCTCCAAGCATCCTTTTTCTTGCCTCCCTTACAACCTCGCCTCCCTGCAACCTCCCGCTCTCCAGCTCCACCTCCCAGTCCTACGGCTGATGATATAAATCCTGCATTACCTCAATGACCTAAACCGGAAGGGATGGAGAGGGGGAGGGTTCGGTTCGATCGATCCGATTCGATACCGGACGATAATTGGCAGCATGGTTTTGATTTCAGGCTTTGCCTTAAGCCCTGAAGCCCCAATACTAGAGGGATTGGGTTTCTGATCTCCGAGCCAGACCACAGGCCCCGCGCCACAGGGGCCTGGGTTTCTCTGGAAGCAATAGACACTCAACGCTAAATCCAAATCCTGAAACTTTTGATTCATGACGCCCCTCCCCCTGCGAATAAAGCAGAAACTACAAGTCATGGCTCCCGAGGCAGGTTTTCGGCTGTGAGGACATCGCTTGCTGAAGGGCTTGCGGTGCGACATGAAGACGGTCCTTGTTCAGTTGACTATTCACTACCTATAGGCTCCATTAGTGGTTCCTTTTTGGGGTTCATAACGTTTACGAAGGGTTTACAGGGCTAGAAGCGGGTTTAGTATGGCGAGGTCTCTAAAACTATAACCCCCTAATTTGAGTCCCTGCACATATATTCGCACTGAAAAATCCGCGCCTCAAGGCCCTAGTCGAGCCGAGCCACAAAAAAAGGGCGGAGGTTTGAGGGTTTATAGTTTCGGGTTTTGGAATGTTTTGGGCGTGGGGCTTGGTGAGGGTTCTTTGTTGCGACTTGGTTTTGAGTTTCTGGGATTAGGGCTGTTGTGGGGATTTAGGGTTTGGGGTTGATACGGTTTGGGGGTGATAAGGTTTAGAGTTTATAAGTTTTAGGGTTTGGGGTTGAGACGTCGAGAGAGGGTAGCCTTAGTGGTGATTGCATGAAAGATGTTGTTCTATTCTGGAGCTGTCAGCTGGGTTGTATGCGGCTTACCGTTGCACTTGCTCGGCGCCCCACTCCTTTATAGGTTCCCAGACCTTCCAAAATCCCTAAATATACTTTAAATCATATTAGGGACCTTACTATAATTTAAGGTATATTCCTAAATAAAGGGATTTTGGAAGGTCCGGGTTTTTTTGCACAGGAAAAACCGCCCATGTTCAACCGGAATCCGAAAATCCTTGCGGGTTACGAACGAGGTTCTGAGCGAAATTCATCAAGATTGCCTACTTGTCAGGCCTAAGTATACTCTGGTTTAGGGTTTAGGGTTTAGGGATTAGTATACTCCACCAATTTTGGCTCACCTACCTCAGTGTGTCGTTTTCTGTTCTTTAAGTCACATGGACCGTTCGGCTTTGGGGATTTGTACATACCGCGCGCTTCTGCATCGTGGCGGTCCTTCATGAGAAAGGATCTCTGAAGCTGACCCTAAAGCCTGAGGGTCCAAGACCACCTAGAAGTCATGTACATGGCTTCTTCGGTTTAGGGTTTAGGGTATTTTGAGGTTTAGGGTGTAGGGTGCTCGAGTACTATTCACCTGGACCCTGGGAGTAAGCTGAGCTGGCAGTGCTCTGACGGCTGTGGGATGGATATCACAAACACCATAGAAATTGATTCACCCAACAACACCGTCGTCAATGCTCTGCGCCGCTTTGATGCCCTTTGAAGACAGAGGGGAATCCCGGGGTGGCGAACAATGGAAAAGGTTAGAAGCATTAGGGGTATTGTCATTGTAGGATGTCTGAACTCCCACAACCCCAGACCCTAGTCGAGTAACTGTATTTATCAGAGCTTGTACCTTACAACAATGAGGAATGGGGAGCAGAGCGACGGTTACCTTGACAGCAGTCGCATCTTCGACATAAATGACTTAACCATCGTGCGGTTCTACAGCTGTTTCCAAAAGTTCTGGTGGCTAGATTGTATTGTGTTTGTTCGTGTTCTTTTGTTGTTGATGCGGGCTCTTCTCGTAGACCTGCTTTGGGTTTTTGCAATCGACCTCTCGAAAGGGTTTGTGAGATTGCAAACACGTTCTAAGACTTGTGTTTGTTATCATTGTAGTTGGCTTTTGGTTTCGAACTCGTGGTAAGTGCTGAGCATGGACGAGGAGTGGTTTATTGGTGTTCTTACAGTTTATTTGTGAGTGTCGATTTTCGCAAGGGTTCTTCTACAAGACTCTTCCAGGCTGTTTGTGCACAAGAAGATTCGCAACAATTTTCCATAATTCCTACACAGAAGCTGTGCAGACCCCGGTGGCTCGCATGGTTCACTAGTCAACTCTTCTCTAAAACGTAGCTCCTTCGTTCCGAAGGCAAAAAACGTCCAGTACATCTCAGCAGCCTCTGGACAAATGCCCGAAGTCTCTCATAGAAGAGAGCCCTGTCAAGCCTGGGAGCGTTTAGGATTGGGGGCTGTTGAAACGGTGATCGGTTGGACTTACCAGGCATGTGGCTGATCGGCCCTAATCGATGGGCGTTCAGGTAAAGTCTCCTATTTTGAGCCCGGCTAACCAAATCGCCAAATTCTTACAGGCACATCGGGCCCGACGAATGCCGAAAACCTCGAAGCCATGCATAGACTTACTGCCCCCAAGTACCCTAAACCCCAAGCCGGAAGTCCCACGACCCCAGTCGGTCATGAAGCACCCCGGATGCACGCTGTATCCCGTGGCTGACGAAGTGCAGAGCCTTTTGGGAAGAGGGTTTTCTAAGTTACGGATGCGACCAGGCAGGGTCCCGATTGTGTGAGTTCCTCTCTAGAAGATGAGTGGGGTTTCCGCACATGTAACAGTGTATGTATGTATCTATGTATGTTTTTTTAATGTACCTGTGTCTCTATTGATGTACGTATGCTACTTAGGTTTACGATCGCAACTAGTCGTTTCGGGTGCCCGGAAGTGTCCGTGACTTGAACTACCTCACATGCGTAGTGGTGGCAAAGGCCCTTGGCGGTTTTGTTTGAAACTGTGGTCAACAAAGGCCTCTTTGTTCGGGATCTAAGTCAAGCGCTTAACCGCTTAACCCTAGACTTCAAGTCAATTCGAAGCCTGTAATGTCGATTTGGAGTTTCTCTTCAACGACTGTGTGGGCAGTGGGATAGTAGCACCTACGTGGTCCGTAAGCCCTATATACCCTGAAACGTCATGGTCAGGAAACCTCTAACCTCTATCCTCGAGCCCTAAACCCTAAACCCCATACGTTGGTCGTAAGGCACCCATAAGGGCTTGGCACAGAGTTGCGATTGAAGGGACTGTTCATGTGTTTTGACTCTGCTTTGTTGTGGTCGCGCTTTTCAGGGCTTGGTCTTGGGGTTTCATCATCGTAAGGATTAGAGTTAGTCAGGGCTTTTGGCATTTCTATCAGCAATAATGCCATATCAGCCTTCAAACGTCACCTCCACCTGCAAACGATGCAGTTCCACCTTTTCCCTCCATACATGCTTCAAATCATAGCAGGCCCTTCCCATTCTGGATGGATTTCCATTCTCCTACATTTCATCGTTCTGGATGAACCGCTGAGTATGAGCTTGGTTGATACAGGGTGATTGGGAAATATTACAGGTACATGGTATGATGACATGAGTTTCTATCATGAGAAAAAGCAGACGACCGCTGTTTTGACTCGCCTCGCCAGCTCGTCACTGCAGCCGTCGCCGCTTGTTTTTTTCGGACTCGGCTTGAAACCTGTAGCATATGTAATATGCTTGCATCATCGACCGTTTTTTGGCCGACAGCAAAGTCGCCTTGTCTATCCCCTCATCTAGCTGCTCCTTGTCGATGGCCGGATTGTAGCTTGCACTGCAGCTGTGCCTCATTTGTCATTGTTGTTCTACATTCACCCTGACTGCTGCAAAATCTAATGGAATGCATTTGTGCTGGAAAACTAATAGTAGGATTTCTGCAACCATGTCGCTTTCCCTCGTACTTCTCGTCGCCGGGAAGGCGAACCTGGAAGTGGGGCAGAACCGTAGACCGATGCTCCACATGCGTGATGACCACATCATCTCTCATCTTGAACTTCGCCGTCAGGAAGTCGGGCACGGCTTTGCAAGTGCTCAGCAACCGCCGCGAAGCTCGCTTTCTCTCTTCATCTGCCTCTGCTGGAGCTTCTGCCGCTGCAGGGGCAGCCTGGGCATCTCCAGCAGCTGCTGCTTCATCAGGATTTCCGCCTTCAGCACCGGCATCAGCTTCTTCCTCCTTGCAGTTGTTCTGGGGATCTTACAGAAAAATGCATGAAAACGTGATTCAATCATCGACTCAGTTCTGCCTGCTGATCTACTGGACAGGCACCAGGAAGCATAACTGCTGATGCCGGGGTCCTCGTCCTCTTGCTTCTCCGCTTGCTCCAGCAGCTGTCTGGCGGCGGCCATTGTCTCATCCTCCTCCTCTTCCTGGAGATCTGCCTGGAGCAGACAACAGGTGAATGGCAAGCTTGAGTCTAAGTTTGTTTCCCTTCCGAGCCTCGTCGTCCTCCTGGTTGTCGGCCGAACCGGACTTTGTGCGCTTCCGGCGCTTTTCATCTATCTCATTCAATAAGTCATCCAAAGCCTTCAGCTCGGCCGGTGTGCAGGCTGCGATGACAGCTGGGAGCTGGCACAG